GAGGGACCCTAGTCAGTTCCTTTGTGAGTGGATTGTTGTAAATACAGTGAGCATAGTTCCTGAATATCTCTTGCTTCCTTTCCTACCTTCTCACATACGCTCATGCCATTATGCCATCCACCACATGCTGATGTAGCCAGAAGCCTCCTGTCAAAGCCAAGCAGATCATGGACTGTGCTATAGAATCTCCAACTAAAAGACTTCTTTGTAGCATACGCAGCCGTAGGTATTTTATTATAGTAACAAAAATTGAACTACCACCTACCTAATTTCCACCTTTTTTATATACAGTTTTGTTTTGGAAATGCAGATCTTCATGAGGCACTGGTGTTGCACTAGCTATTTATCAAGTCTATTTTTCACCTTTTTTTGTGGTCATATATTTTGTTGGAACATAAAAAAAAGCAACTAGAGGCGTTGTTGACATGGATTTCCACAATGGGCCTATAGAAAGTCTTGACATGGAATTAAGTATTTTGAAATTCAGCTACAGAGGCCTGAATTCAGGCTGCTAAGTCCAGATTTGCCATTCTTTGATACATGCCCAGTGGCACTTGGAATGATTGCCATCAAAATTGGAGAAAGAAAGGAACAATGCTTAATTAAACTGTTGCCATAAAGGCTCCTCTGCCCATCAAAGGAATTATTACCAGGAGTTCTCTTGCTTGCACAGACCTTAAGTGTCCACCCACCCACCTGCCTAATTAAGAACCCAAACCCACAGAAAACACCCTTTCTCCTTAGTGGAGGAGTAAGCTGTGATGGCTTGAATATTCTTACCAACAATGTATGACCATGATCACAGCCCTAGGTAACTTGTTCTCCATATTTTAGAACTCAGTTAAATACAGGTGATAGATTGCATGGAACTGGTTTGACCGAGGGGCCTTGTCTGAGTGCAGAGTCCAGTCTTCTTTGGTGTACAACATCAGGGAACTGATTTTTCTTGTCCTTTTGACATACTCTGGAGCATTCGTTTTCCTGTTATCAAATCCCCGACACCAAATTCCACTTTCTTGGTTACTTCTCATACAAGCCAAGGACACATTAAGAAATGACTTTTTTTTCTCTTTCTACCCCCTTGGTGCCTTATAAGTTAAATACTTAAAGCACATTTAGGAAGCTTCAATCCAGGGCTTGCTCTGGAGCTGTGGTGTTCAATGCTGAGTTGTTCATTTTACCCCATATCTTCCTCCAAAGAAAAGGAGTTATAGTTTATATTGGAGAGAGACTTAGTGATTTTCTTTGCAACTGATTAAACACTTTTGGCTCTAATGGGAAGAGAATGAATACTGAGACTTAGAACTCTGGGGACATTAGTTATCTCTGTTTTCTTTATTATAATAACAGTAATAATTATCTTTATAGTAAGGGTTGCCATTTAACAAAGCAGTTTATAAACACAATATATCTTTATCAATGAAACATATTTAAGATAAAAAGAAACCCAAGTCAGATTTTAGACATGAAAAATAGTATATATAATATAGATGTATAATTGGATGTCATATATATATGTGTATATATATATATACATATAAAACATTATAGACATGGCAAAAGGAAAGCTTAGTGTGTTTGGAAACATAGCAATAGAAATTCAAAATGACACAAGATACTATGTTGGAAATGAGCTTTGCAACTTCTGGGTTGGGGGAGGACTGGGGGAGGTGGGGGAGGGAGGGAAGGGATACTAGGAGAAAAATAAAGGCAGGGGTAACAATGTTTGACAAGAAATGTACTTATTGATTACCTTACTCATGTGACTGTAACCCCCCCCCCTTATAACATCTTCTCAATAAAATAAAATTTTAAAATTCAAAATGAAATAGGAAAATGTTTTTAAGAAAGTGGGAAGAACATAACGTAACTACGTAACAGCTTAAGGTGGCCTGATATGTGTGTGCCTAGAGCCCCAAAGAGGGAGGGGCTGGCAGGGACACTTTTGGAGAAACTGGCTGTACACTTTAATTTTACAGCAGCAAAAAAAAACCCAACTATATAAATCCTCAAGTCTAGGAAGCTCAGTGAAGTCTAAAGTTTCCTAATACAAATCGATCACAACCAGTGATTTAAAAAAATACCTTAAAAGCAGCCAGAAGTCTAGGCACCCATGGCTCAAGGCCTGTAATCCTTGCTACTTAAGAGCCTGAAATCTGAAGATTAAGGTTCAAAACCAGCCCGGGCAGGAAAATCTGTGAGACTCTTTATCTCTAGTTAACTGCCCAAAAGCTGGAAGTGGAGCTGTGGACCAAGTGGTAGAGCTTTCGCCTTGAGCAAAAAAACAAAAACAAAACAAAAAAAAAACAATTAAAGGACAGTACTCAGGCCCTGAGTTACAGACCCAGGACTGGTGCTTACATGTGCGTGCACACACACACACACACACACACACACACACACAAGATAAATATAAATGAACATTGTATGATAGCTCGTTGTCACTGGGCATGCAACAAGGCACCTTTAGAGTAAGGAAGGGGGAAAACAAACTGCCAACCTCAAACACCACACTCAGCGAAAATGTCTCTAACATTTTCCACTCATGTCATGGTTGTGAGAGCCAGCAGTAGCAGACTATACCACAAAAACTATGAACTAGTTTTGGCAGAAGGAAAAGGATACCAAAAGGAAATATGAGTCAACACAAATGAGCAAAGAACAAAAGGAAGCATAACTGTACTGGTGATCATGTAAGAGTTTCCACAATAATTTAAGATGTTTTTTTAAAAGATAATTGACCATTTAGACAAAAATAATTATTACAGAGGGTGGGGCTTATGACTTTGTAAAAAGTAAAATATGTACGGAAGCATATATGTACGGAAATATGTATGGAAGCATGCAGTCATAAAGGTCATATACACTATGTGAAATGTATAATATTTCAAGTAGGTTGTGGCAGGCTAAATCCTAAGCCAACCATGCCTGTAATCCTTGCTCCTTATGAGGCTGAGATCTGAGAATCATAGTTTGAAGCCAGCCTGGGCAGGAAAGCCTGTGAGACTCTTTATCTCCAATAAACTACTCAAAAACCACAAATGGAGCTGTAGCTCAAGTGGTAGAACACTAGCCTTGAGCAAAAAAAGCATCAACACTCAAGCCCTTAGTTCAAGCCCCAGGACCAGCACACTCATACAAAAAAAGTACAGGGATTAAAAATATGAATGCTAACGCAAATGAAATGTAAACCGGACTGGTTTCAGAGTAAGGATGCACTTTTCTGAAAGGATGTAACAATTCCAAAAGTCTGTATACTGAATGACAGTTTTAAAATACACCAAGCAAAGATTGATAGCATTTCAAAGAGATCAGGCAAATACACAGTTATACTATATTTGGAGACTTCAATACCCCTGTTTCAATACATGATATAATAAGTAGCACAGATAACCAAGAAGGATGTTGAAAGTCTGGAATTACACAGTGAGATAACTTGAACAAACAGGTATTTGCATGACATTTCACCCAACAACCGAAGAGGGTGCATTCTTGTTTTTTAAATTTTTTGTTATTATAAAAATGATGTACAGAGGGGTTACAGTTATATGTCAAGTACGTTCTTTTTTCTTTTTCTTTTTTTTTTGTCAGTTGTGGGGCTTGAACTCTGGGCCTGAGCTCTGTCCCTCAGCTTTTCAGCTCAAGGCTAGCACTCTACCACTTGAACCACAGCATCACTTGTGGCTTTTTCTGGTGGTTTATTGGAGATAAGAGTCTCATGGAGTTTCCTGCCCGGGCTGGCAATCCTCACATCTCAGCTTCCTGAGTAGCTAAGATTACAGGCATGAGCCACCGGCATCCTGCTTCAAGTACATTCTTTTAAAGTATATCATTCACCAAGACCAGAAACCAGTTTCAACTATATTAGAAGGGTCCAGACTGTGTTCTCTGACCTGTGTGCAAGGTCTTCAAGACTATAGGATATGGACAGTCCCCTAGATAGCTTGATGTTCAGAGATTTTACTGGAGGTCAGTGACCCTCAGGCTATTGATTCACCTTAGAAAAGCTTCCTTTCTTCCTTTTCTTCCTTCTGTCTTCTTTCCTTCTCTCTCTTCTTCCTCCTTTCCTCCTTCTCTTCCTCCCTCTTGTTCCTTTCTTTCTCTCTTCCTCTCTCTTTTTTCTCTTATAAAAGTGGGTGAATGGGTTATGAGCGATGGGCAACAATGTTGTCAGACACATTGTATTCATATACTATTTTGTAGAATGGGAACTTCTTTGTACAACTACTTAAAGAAATAATAAAAAAGTTAGTAAAAAATATAAAAAAGTGGGTGAAGGATTCTATCTGGCACTTCATCAAGGAAGATGTATAGATAACAAAGAAGCACATGAAAAGATGATCAATGCCATTAGTCATGAGGGAAATACAATCAAAGACCCTGCTCTACTATGGCTATAAATAGAAAGTCAGACAATAGCAAGTATTGGTGACTCTGTGGAGAAAATGGGGTGTTCATGTAAAAAGGTACAGCTTCTTTGGAAAATGGAATCGCTAAAAAGGTTCAAAGAAGAAGAAACATGTGTCCATGTCCATGTTGTTCCAGTGCCTGTGACAGCCTGGTTTCTAATAGCCAGAGTGAAAGTAGCTCTGTATCTTTATGTCTGAACAAGATCATGGTGGAGTGCCTGCTCAGGCTGTCAACTTGCATATCAGTCAAATCGATCCGCATTCTGCGTGTGTGTGTGTGTGTGTGTGGTCGTGTGTGTGTGTGTGTGTGGTCTCTTTCTTACTCCACTTAGGAGTTCCATTTTTGCTTTACAAAGAAAAGACAGGTTGACAAACCGCTTCTCTAATGGGTGTGTGTGTGTGTGTGTGTGTGTGGTCTCTTTCTTACTCCATTTAGGAGTTCCATTTTTGCTTTACAAAGAGAAGACAGGTTGACAAACCGCTTCTCTAATGGCTGTTATGTCCTAGAATCATTTCATGATCCTCTAGAAAATAAATATTAGTCCCATGAACACTACCCAGTTTTTATGGGCTTGCTTTTTGCGTTTTTAGGACTGTGTTTAGAGAAGCTGCCTATTTCATCTTCTACCAGTAATCTCCATGTGGACCGGGAGCAGGACGTCATCACCTGTTACGAGAAAGCTGGGGACATTGCACTCCTGTACCTCCAAGAGATAGAAAGGGTGAGTGAGGGCCCCGTCTTCCTTCCCCCTGGTCGTGTTGTTTCCAGTTGGGTTGTGGACCCTGGTAGTCAGCCTCAGGCAAGTCCTTGACTTGTCTGCCTCTGGGCAGACAAAGCCTTACTTACATTCCTGGATGCTCAGGACAGGAACCTGCCAAAGCAGATTGCTTAGTGTATGTAAAGTGTTTTAAGAGCCTCTGGGCAGATGTGATGTACTTGTCCATACCCTTGGCACACTGGAGGCTGGCCAGTAATTCCTGGTCTCTCCAGCAACATGAATCCTTTGCCCTGTGTGGTCCCTGTGCCAACACGTGGTCCTCTGGGGAGAGAGGGCTTTACCTTAAAGGGTGGCAGAGATCTGCTGGGGACTTCCACTGTGTTCTCTGAGGCCAACAAAGATGGTCTCCGGCAGTTCATTGGGAAGCCCACTGACAAGAAGGCTCTTGAGCAGAGGACAAAGGCACAAGAAGTCCTACATTCACACCTTCAGGCAGAGGAAGCTGGGTGAGGCCAGGGAGGCCTGGGCACCTTGTCTGTTGAAGACAAGGTCTTTTAGTTTTTCTTTTTACTGAGTTCTTCACCCCTTAGCCTGGATTTTCCCGTCTATACAGAAAGCATAATAATAGTTCCTGCTTCTTGAAGTTCTTTGGAGGATTATGTAAGGTCATGTCTATGATAAAGGCACTTAGCCTAGGTTGGGGGAACATATTGGATTCTTGGGAAATGGCATTTATTTTTAATGACAATAGCTCCCAGCTGTGTCTGCTATATCAGAATTTTCCTGGAGTTCTAACCAAGGCTAGACTCTGATCTCAACCCCCTCACAGCCAGAAATGTACCCTGTGGGATTGTTTGAAATGATTATAAATCCTATAAGTCTTTGAAAATGATCAGAAGCCTTGTTCTATCAATTTTCTGGCCTTTCTTCTCCTTAAGGATTAGAATGGAGGGGTCCTATCATTTGTGGGCTTTTGTTATTTTTAACATGTAGTGTCTGGAAATAATCTTTTTAATAAGTGATTTTGTCCTGAGTTGGGGGTGGGGGGGTGGGATGCAGATCAGAGTTGCCTTAGAGGGAGAGCAGAGAGAGAATCACCAAAGTTGTTGCTGCACCAGCCCCTCACCTGGTCCTGACCATGGCTGTAAGCCGTGGTTCATGTCTGGGAACCCAGGGAGCTATGTGGCTGTTGTCCTAAAATGTTATTCCAGGTTCTCTGAGGAAGGAGTTTTGCTCCTCTTATCCAGAATTTCATCAAGAGAGAAATGATCACGCAGGCCGTTTTTGAAATCCACATTCCTTCTCCTGTCTGCCTACTTAGAGCCAGTCTGTGTCACCTAGCCTAGATGTTCTTGTTGACCACAAGCAGTTACTCTCCAGCCGTTGTCTGGCCCTGTCATGTCGGAGCCTCTTCCTGACGGGGAGAAAATAGAATCACTGCCTCTGTCTTCCATGACGTGAAGTTGGCAGACATCTGAAGATACTTCCTGTTAAGTTCATTCATATACCTCATTCACTATAGACTTCTTTAGTGGGGCCATAAAGGAGACTCATCCAGTCATAAAATTCAAGAGAAAGCTTCCTTCCTTCCTTCTTTCTTCTTCCTCCTCTTTCTGTTTTGGAGATGTAGTGATTATAGGAGTTCGATTTTGATAAGAAAATTGGGGCCCAAGGACACAGGAAGTTAGGCTTAGCCAACTTAGCATGGGGAGAAAGCTTCTTAGCCTAGGGTTAAACCTCAGCCTATTGAGGTGACACTTACCTATGTCTGGCCCTGATATTTCAATCTGTGTTTTCTTTTATGGAAAACTTTGTTCCTCCTCGATTTCAACAAGCTGGAATATTAGCAGTGAGACAGGTTGGATGAACCAAACATGTGTTTTGATTGTAATAGATATGTAAGAAATTATGTATTGGGCAATGTAAAGTCTGGGGAAAATGGGTTGCCTTAAGTGATCATTGGGCTTGGTGAAAGTTCAGGGTTTGTTTGTATGTGTCAGCGTCACTGAGGCTTGTAAAGGTCATTGATTACTGTGTAGAAGGTAGATATTTGTTTATTTTTTGTGCCTATCCTGGGGTTTGAACTCAGGGCCTAGCCACTGCCCCTGACCTTTTTTGCTCAATGCTGGCACTCTACCACTTGAGCCATGGCTCCATGTCCAGTCTTTTGGTGCTTAATTGGAGATGAGTCTCACAGACTTTTCTGTCTGGGGTTGGTTTTAAACTGTGATCCTCAGATCTCAGCCTCTTCATAGTGAGGATTACAGGCATGAGCCATCAGTCTGGCTATTTTTACTTTTAAAATCTGAGCCCAATGGACTGAATTTTGAATTGTGAAAATGGTGCATTGCTGCAAACAGAAATGTTAGAGTAGAATCTGAAAGCAGTGCAAGCCGGGGTCACACCTGCCTTGCACCACAGGTAGAGTGTGCTCTCAGATCTAGAACCCCCCAGGCATGCGTGCAAGACCTGGCCATAGTCTGAGTTTCCCCACATTGGGTGTGTGAGTCAGATTGGAGGTAGTTTTATTGTTTTTTTTTTTTCCTAGAGGGAAGTGACCTCTTAGAAAGGAAGCTGACCTTGACTTGCCCTTTTGGCCACTAGCTTAAGCTACTATAGGCAGCACCAAGGTGAATGACTTCTTGAAATGCTGGCTGTGTCACCTCTTAGCTGTGGATCTGTGGAAAAGTCATTTAACCTCTCTGTGCTCCCAATGCTCATCTATAAAATACCAACAAGAGCACCATATGGAGGCATGAGGCCAATGAAGCCCATGCGTGGACTGCCCAGAGCATGGTCAGCACACACTACATGTCCTTGGGTCACTAGCTGAGCAACCTTCCCTATCCTTTGAAAATTCCAGGTATTCAGAAATGTAATCTAGAACATACAGGCATACTGTTTTATTGGGAATGTAAGAGAACTCCTAGGGAACATGTCTGTGGTGAAGTCATCTTTCCAGGTGTTTGGTTTGGCTAAAGCGAACTCAACACCATTGTGCCTGCTGTCCATGCTGTGGTCTGGGCTTCCAGTCACTACTCGCTGTTGAGCTTGGTGCACTTGCTTGTTCCTGTGACCTCAGCTTTCCTTCTGTGTAGTTCTCCCAGATTCAGCTCACCGCATAGGCTGGTCCCTCATGGACAGTCAATGTGGCAGGCAGTCCACTGGAGGCTGGCAGGAGCTAGTCTGTCTGTGTGTGTGTGTGTTTGCTTTTGCACACATACATGCACACCAATACTACAGCTTAAACTCAGGGCCTGGGTAATCTCCCTTGCTTTTGTACTCACAGCTGATGCTCTACTACTAGAGCCACACCTTTACCTGTAGATATTTTTTCTCTGGTTAGAGATAAGAGTTTCATAGACTTTTCTGCCTAAGCTGGCTTTTAACCTTGATCCTCAGATCTCACCCTCCTGTGTAGCTTGGATTACTGGTGTGAGCTACTGGCGCCTGGCTAATTAGTCATCCTTAACCCCTGTGCCAGATGGGAGCAGGGTCAAAAAGGAGAATAAATGAAAGCTGTGTGCATTGAGTACTGTAACCTGTACTGGGGTTACAGAGACATCAACTAAGGACTGATGCAGTTTGTTTTTCTGAAGGGGAATAGAATATAACAACATTTTTGTATAGAAAATAATTTAATCAATCAGATCAAACCAGAGCAACTAGATGGAGCATGGCCTAGGATGGGCTTCATTAGTTTATCTTCAGATGGTGGTGTGGTGCCAGCAGTGAATTCTGGCATTCTGCCCTGCAAGAGCATCTGGTAGCACAGGACAGGAATAGCGGTGACTTCAGCCTTGGATATCATCATATGAGCCCAGCTTTTGGCAAGGGAAGCCATCCTGTCCCTATCCTTTGCACACATCAGCCACCAGCTGCTTGTGGCATTCTCGAGCAGGTGTGCCAGGGTGGAACTTAACCTTCTGCTGACCCGTTATTTCTTCACACCCTATTTTAGAAAAGGAGGTAATGCTCAATTGTAGATATCCACTCCATTTTAGCGAATGTGTTATTGCTAAGGTACTGAAGAAAAATGCCTGCAGGGCCTGGGCCACGTTCCTCTGCTCATGAGAGCATCTTCTGGGCCGCAAGGTCACACTGGAGCTCACGATGTCCTCCCGCGAGGGGAACCTGTTGACATGGCCATGGGATGCATCAGCGTGGGATTAGATTAAGGTCACTGTGTGTCTTGACTTCAGGCCAGGTGTCCCAGCAGTCTGTGCTGCCGCTGAGAAAAGCAGCGTGTGAGCTTGGAGCTCCAGGTGTCTGCCTGGCGGCCTTCACTGGGAGACAGTAAAAAGAGCCTTGCCCCTCCTCATTCCAGAGGAGGCAGTGGGTCCCAGCTTGCTGTAATACCTATAGAAACATCCAGAAGCTGCCCGGCCAGCCTGTGGGTCTTTAGCCCTGCCCCACAGACTTTGAGCATGTCATCTGATTAAGTGGATAGTCTACAACTCTTGAGATAGAAAAGTCTGGAAGCCAGGAAAGAGCAGTCACTTAGGTTCTTTTTTGTTTTGTTGTGTGTGTGTGTGTGTGTGTTTTATTGTAAAAATACTGTACAGAGGGGTTACAGTTACATGAGTGGGTTAATGAGTACATTTCCTATTGAGTCTTGTTACCTCCTCCTTTGTTTTTCCCCTACCATCCCTCCCCTTCCCACCTCACCAACTCCTCCCCGCCCCCTGAAGTTGTAAAGTCCATTTTCAATATCCGGAATCCTTATTTAAGAATTTTGTTATTTCCCTTCCCCTCCCCAAATTATAAAAATGTATATACAAAATGCAGGGCACTGGAATCAAATACAGTGAAAACAGGGGTTATACTGTGGGAGAAGAACATACTAAAGAAACAAAAAAATCACATAGTACATTAAAAACAATAGCAAGAAAGGAAAAAACCACTTGTGTCCCTATCTTGGGGTTCATTTCGCTTAACATCATCTTATCTGGTCATATGTACATAGCTTTTGACCTTTTCTGCTTGTCCTAGACATAGTTATT